AGCGAAGCAAGCAAGAAGGAAATTGCCCCAGTAATTGAACAAGAAGAGCTTGACGTTCAACTTCTGCAGGATTTATATGGCAAAGAGCATCTTAATCTAGTGTTCATAGGACACGTAGGTTCGTAAATGTTACTATTTCTGGGGAACGGATTCGTCGTTCCAATCATCAAGTGATATTCTCTTACGACATGGCACGAAATTGTACATATTTACTTACGAAAGTCATTAATTTGCAACCAGATGCTGGAAAATCTACCATGGGTGGGAATATTCTGTAAGCTCATAAAATGAGATTTCATCATCGGAGTTTTATCGACCTGATTATAATGATGAGATTAACGGTTTTATGTTAACCAAAGATTTTTGACCGGAATGGTTGATCAGAGAACCATGGAAAAATACGAGAAAGAGGCGAAGGAACAGAATCGGGAGTCTTGGTATTTGTCTTGGGCGCTGGATACTAACAAAGAAGAACGAGCAAAGGTTAATTGAGTGTGATTATTGTCTGCCAGATGTCATTGTACGTTTTTTAAGAATTTGTTTGTGAAATTATGTAGGGAAAGACAGTTGAGTGCGGTCGAGCGTATTTTGAAACCGAGAAACGACGGTATACAATTTTGGATGCGCCAGGTCATAAGAACTATGTACCGAGTATGATTGGTGGCGCGGCACAAGCCGATGTGGGCATCTTGGTAGGTGTGAACACTGACGATTGATCAACGTACATTTATTTGTTTTTTTTTTTATATTTATTTTATACTTTCGACAATGACAACAGGTCATATCTGCAAGAAAAGGTGAATTTGAAACCGGTTTTGAAAGGGGGGGTCAGACTCGTGAACATGCCGTGTTAGCCAAAACCTCGGGAGTTAACAAATTGATAGTTGTTATTAATAAGATGGATGACTCCACGGTGGGATGGTCTAAAAATAGGTAATGGCAATATATTATGCTGCTTAGGATTTTTAACATCGGTTTTAATCCGGGTAAATATGATACATCATATGATCCTAGGTATGATGAGTGTGTTAACAAACTTCTACCGTTTCTCAAGGCGAATGGATATAACCCAACAACGGGTATTTATTTAACATTCAGGCTGCTACCAACACATTATATGCATTGATGTTTAATGATTGGTTTTTTTGTTAATAGACCTCGAATTCATGCCGGTGTCCGGTTTTACTGGAGCAAATCTTAAGGATCGTGTATCGGAAGAAGTTTGCAGTTGGTACAAGTGAGTACGATGTCGAGTTATTTTTCGATCATTCGGAAAACGCCAAGGGTTTAAAAGTACTCTTCCTCTACAGGGGGCCATCCTTGCTTGAGTATTTGGACAACATGCAAGCCATAGATAGAAAGACGAATGCACCACTGATGATGCCTATCACGGAAAAATACAAGGTAAATATTGGGACATTTTTTAAAACCATTTGTTCTCGGTGGGTTTATAATTGTCGAATTTCTTAGGATATGGGCACAGTGGTTGTTGGAAAGATAGAATCAGGCGCAGTCCGCAAAGGGCAAACCGTATTGGTCATGCCAAATAAGGTGTGTGTTTTTTAATGAAAGAATTCTACGATTATATAAAAGTTTGATTTTGTTTATTAAAAACAAAAAATTTTTGACGTTAGCGTACTGTTGAAGTATCTGCGATTTATAATGAACTTGAAGATGAAGTATCCGGAGGTATTTGCGGCGATAATGTCCGATTGCGTCTGCGAGGAATAGAAGAGGAGGATATTTCAACCGGTTTTGTCGTGTGTTCGACAAAACGTCCGGTGAATACCACGACCTTGTTTGAGGCACAACTTGCCATATTAGAACACAAAAATATTATTTGCGCCGGTTACAGTGCTGTCCTTCATATTCATTCCTGTGTCGAGGAAGTCTCCATCTCAGTAGGATTACTTTATTTTACCCGGTACCACATTGTCGCCTTTAGATTAACCTTTCTTTGCACGTTTACATAGGAACTCCTACACCTAATCGATAAAAAGACTGGAAGAAAATCAAAAAAACCTCCACAGTTTGTCAAAAAGTTACAGCAGGTGATCGCTAAACTCGAAACAGCGGGCCCAATTTGCGTTGAAGCCTTTGAAGACTATCCACAGCTAGGAAGATTTACGGTACGGGACGAAGGTAAATTATGTGAATATTTCCGATCGTAGTTTTCCGTTTGACATGACATGCACTATAAGTGAATCTGGTTAAAATGACATTTAGGGAAAACTATCGCGATAGGAAAAGTTACCAAAGTAATTGTTCAAAACGAATAGACAAGAAGCGAGGTGAAAAAATTATTGTAACGATATCGGAAAAATAAGAAAGTCATTTATTTATTCAAATTGATAATTGAGATCAGTGAAGGAAAGTCACAACTACTTTATTAATTTTTAATATTCACCGGTCCAATTGATTTCTCTTGAAAGAAAGAAAATTACCGCATATTGTGTGAAAAAAAAAAAAAAAAAAGGAAAAAGAAAAATATCAAATGGATACAAATAAACTCCTGATATTAGTGATAGAGAAAAAAAATTTTCCATATATACTGTAAATTCACCTCTTCTTCGGTCAAGGTTCTTTATTGAATAGACGAGTAACTTCTTATTCGAATTTACGTCACCACAATTCGATATAGGAACAGACTTGTAACATTTTGCAATGATTAACCAGTTCCGCTCAATGATCAAAAGTCCGATTAATCTTTTTTCCAGGGGTGAAAGGAATCTGATACCCGCTCAAAAGAATTCTTCCTTCATAGTCGGTGAAGGCCGTAGTATGAAATACCACGTGGAACCCCGTCATCATAGGGAACATATCATAATTACCCTCGATGTCGGGGAACAAGGAAAGCGCGCTGGGTGGGAATCCCATTGCGATATTGCCGTTTTGATCGCCAGATGAGATTGACACACCGTGCCATTCTTTCATACGTGGTAATACAATTTCTACCAATTTATCTAGAAAGGTATACATTGGCGGACCTTGGATGTGTACCTTACAACCTACAGGCATGTCTGGAGCAAGTACGGTGTGAAGAAGGTGACGAAGAGGTTTTTTGCATTCGAACAGAAGTCACGATAAGATTCCGAGAATAATATTAATTACCCTTTCTCAGCTTCCATTTTGAGACATCGGTTTTAGAATACACAATTGTAGGCCGCTCTGAGGTGATACATTGCAACGCCATGATCCCGCTCAATAAATGTTGCTTACTTATTAACGATTGTTTCATCATGCAATGCACAACTATCTTCACCAACTCGGGCGCGGTCCTATGTGATTGCCTGGGAGGCACAGGTCCAATATTTTTGTTGCCCCTGATTTTAGGCCTAGGACGATTCTTTGCATAGGGATTCGTGTCCATGGTCAGCACCGATTTTTTTTGTGGGAGGGGCTTTATCTTTCGTTTATCTATGAACTTCTGTTCAGCTGTCGGGTCCCTGTATGTAAGGATCATTAGATCATCGGCCAAGGTAGATTGATGGAATTCTTCAAAGCGAAGCATTGACGAACGACCGGGATAGAATTCTAGACTGTCGGGTAGATTTGCCGGCTTTTTGGGGATATGACTGTGGTGGGGTTCAAAATTTGCGATGGGAGAGAAATGAAAGTGTTTGTGCAAGGGGACATTTCGTCTGGTCAGAAGGGAGAGTTTGTGGGGGAGGTTGAACGGTTTGAGTGTCAACGTCGACATCCTAAGAATTTTAACCGCATCGAAAGATTATCATGATCGAAATTTATTTGTCATGTGATACGATAAAAATTTTTTTATTTAAAGTATACGGTGTGTGCACAGTAATATAGTATGTACAGTATGTACTTTATATCTTGCTTTAAAAAGTTTTTTAATTATCAAGTCAACAATAAATTAATGTGTTATAACGCGATAAACGTTCATTTGATCGATTTCATATTTCTAATGATCATCACTTGTTAAATATACTGTAACTACATAGAAAAAACAGTGGGCCCATCCAGATTGTCCATCAGGCCCGGGGTTAAAGAGAATAATATATTAAATATCGGTTAACAATCGATAAACTGTAGAGAGATTAGAAATATTTTTAAATAGCATTCTCATGCGCATTCTCTGTCGTCGTTGTCGAAGTAACCAAGGAATTTCCATGGACGACAAAAGTACTCTCATCACTCTCGTCACTGGGAAAAGTCTTTATGCTGTGTCTCAATCGGTTTGCCGCTTGCACCGCTTCAACCGCTCGCCGGAAGGTTTTTCGCGCGTTGAAATTGGACATAAAGTCATCAAACAAATCAATGTCCTTTGCGTTTGTGCTTGTCAACCATTTGTGCTGAAGAGCTTGTTCAGCAGTGGCACGTTTAGATGGATCCAATACGAGAAGGCTCATGATAAAGTCTTTAGCTGTAAATTGTTAATCACGTGAAAATTTGATTTTGAGAAATTGAAATCTATCCATATTTAAATTCAATGTCATTAACCGTTGCAAATTAGAAGAAAAAATTTCTTTTTTCTTTCGTACCTACCATCTTCCGACACATTCTTCCAGTATCGAGATTCAAATCTCACGCGTCCATTAGTAATCTCTTCGTAGAGTGCCGAACGATCTTCCGAACGAAACGGTGGATAACCACAAAGTCTGAATGAACAGACATTTATACATTTAAGATGGAAATCAATCACAATCTCCATATTAATATAGAATCAATTGATACTTACAAATAATAGGTGATGACCCTAGATACGACACAAAAGAGCAAAGTCAGTATATGCATTTTAAATTAGGGAGACATAATAGGAAGAGTTGATTGTTGATTACCCAATGCTCCATAAATCGACCGACTTGGAATACGGCATCCTTTTCAGAATTTCGGGTGCTGTAAAAGTTGAGAATGCGCACGGGTCAATTCTTTTCCACCTTTTTAACCTTGGTCTGAAGGGCAATAAATTCTTTTCGACACTTACCCACATAGCCGGGTGACCCACAATGGGTCATCATTATATCATCATCGTCAGATAACACCTTGGAGATACTATATAAGAATTCAAGATTTATATCTTTCTTTGTGTATAAGGGTAAGTGCCAACTCTTAAAATTTTTTACCCAAAATCGGCGATGACAAGTGGTGAATCCTCAGATTTATTTTTGTACAATAAATTCTCGGGTTTCAAATCTACATGGCGAACATGTTAATGGGGAAAAAGAATTTAAACAGACGTGCGTGGAAGGTGTATTTTGATTGAATGAAGGTTACCTCTGTGTACAATATGATGTTCGTGAAGATACTTGACGGCCCCAACCACCGTTTTGATCACTTCTATCGCGTCACACTCTGTGAATCTGCCACGTTCAATCAACCTATCAAATAATTCACCACCTGTGGCACTTTTTTTTCGCATCATGATAATTAAAGAAGAATTCTTGATCGAGAAATCATAAATGTTAATTGGAGAGCAAAAATGGATACAGCTCGAACACCAGGTAGTATTTCTCCCTCGACTCAAACCAATCGTAAAACTTCACCACATTCGGATGGTCGAGTCCGTGTAGTATGGTCATCTCTTTTATGACCATTGATTCGTGGTCCTTGACTTTTCGTTTTTCAATCACTTTTATTGCACATTCTTGACCCGTGGTTACTTTGACCGCCTCTTTTACTGATCCATATGTTCCGGAGCCTATTATTCGTCGTTAGTCGAATAAACGTGAGGTTAAGAAAAGCAAGGGACGAGTAATAAGCATAACCAGAAAATTTGCTTTACCTAGAACTCTACCAATCTTGTAGTATTTCTTTAGAAAGGATAAAGATTGTTAAAGATTTAAATTCAAAAAATGGCAACTGGCTTGCAAAGACACGCATCTCGTTTCAGTTCACACCTTCTTTTCGTGAGTTTCCGGCTGTGGTTCTCTATGAAGAGCGTGGTCAAGGATTTCGGTAATGCCCATTGTTGAGTCGTCCACCTCAACCGCAACTTTGTATCAATTGCTATAAGTGACTGCGTGTAACCACACCATTTTAGAGATGCGCACTCATTCCAATGTAAAAATGGCTTTGGTAAGATGATTGTTGCATGGTGCGATATTAATTTTATTTCATCTGATATAAAAGGAAGTATTTTAAAGCGTTTCTAATGTCATGCGTGTATATGCGACTCTTATTTTTCGAAAATCCTGTACCGTTTCGCACAAAAAAAATCTGCTTGACAGTTTCGGAAATGTCACGTATAAGAAATAATAAATACCGTATATACCGTGATCTTAATATGAGAACTTTTTTTTTTTTATTTTAAATATTTTATGGATTAAAATATACAAAATAATGTATGATTGGTTCGTTTCTAGTCGAATGCGAGTAAACATAGTAAAACTTATTTGTTATATCAGGATTACATCCCAAAGTGTTCAAGGTTTGGTAAATAAAAGAAAAATCGAAAAATCGGCTTAAAAAAAAATTTTTTTTTTCGCAGAGTTAGAGTACTTTCACTTTTCCAACCTTTCACGTCATTGATGGAATGTGGAGGTAATGAAGGAATTTTTACTTTTTCATTGTTCAATATATTAGGGTTAATGCATTGACCAGAGTGCGATTATCATCTGTGTTCATATCGATATGTATAATGCAACTGGGTCAAGTCGACAAACTTTATTTATTTATTTTTTTTTTGTGGAGATTAACCGAGTTTTTTTTAACGAAAAAACCGCAGTTCCTATCCGAGTCTAGTATAAACCCTCTAAAGAGAAAAAAAGCGTGCATATCTATAAAACGAGACTGAATAAAAAATGACCAAAGTCGCCCTTCCGAATAGCACCGGCGGAACTCTAACGTACTGTTATAGATGGAAGATCACAAATTGGTGCGAGGTTAGGCCCTTTACGGAACACACGAGTCCCGCATTCAGCGCTGACGGGTTGCAGTGGTAGGTAGAAACAACCTTTTGTTTATGGTCACGCAGGAAGGGAATTCGTGTAAATTACCTTCCATTTTAAATTTAACCTGTTCTTTGTTGATATAATAACCACGGAAGGGTTTTCAAGGTATCGACTTCTTATCTCAATTTGTCACGAGTTGACTTCTTTTCTATTATATTTAACTTTCATTTTGTTCATAGTTCTATAAAGGAAGACAGAAGAATCCACAGGTCACTGGTTATTCACGCATGCATTGTTATACCTCCGAAAGAAGAATTGTTTTCGACTGAACTTTATATTTCCATCACGTATACTCTTTTCCTCTTAAGGCCTTGTCTCTATATTTAGGTATTCTGGAAACGACACCCGGATGCCTGCACGGGATTCGTAAGAAAGTTAGTATTATTTTCGTCTTGGAAAACCTAAGAACCCGAGGAATGGACTTTGGAAAAAGTAAGTTTTACAGAAGATCGTCCGTGTCGGTTAAGTTTTCAATTTCATTGTTTCTCACCTGCACCTTCTAGTGGAATTTCCGGTTTGGTTTTGTGATAGTAAGTGTATGCAACCACTGCACCTTCCGTTTATACTCGGAATTACATAATTTACTCCGTAATTTCAATTTTGCCAGAACATTCTACGTGGGGTGAAGAAAACCTTATGTCATTGGATGAAATGGATAGGTAATTGAATTAATTCAAGAAACCTTTTTAATACATCCCATTCCATGGATTTACGTTTCTTTTTGTCATTTTTATAGATTTATTAGCAATGACACGGTCTCCTTATGTGTCAAATTCGAAATCCAAGAATCGATTATAGATGCATCGCCAGAGATCGGCGTCAATCCTTTTAATAAACTGGTCAATTCCCCGCGATTTTCTGATATCACTTTCCGTGTAATTGATGACGCTGGTCGGGATAAATTATTCTATGCTCACAAGGGGGTTCTAGCATGCTCGTCGCCGGTATTTGAAGCAATGCTGACGAATGGAATGAAAGAAACTCATGAAAATGAAATTCGGCTTCACCAAGCCAATCACAACGCTTTCCTCGCTCTGCTTACCTATGTATATACCTTTAACGTTAACATTGAATCATTGTGCGATGCCGAAAACTTACTGGCATTGGCGGATCGGTTTGCTATTGTTCACGTGCGAGAAGAATGCTTGCGATATTTTCGATTGGAGGTGAACGTGAATAACGTATGGGGTATTTGGGCGATTGCCGGTAAGTTCCCTACCGCAAATTTATATTCCGAAATAGAGTTCGTACAGCTTTTCGTTTTCTCTCTTATGCCTCTTAAATTTAATCAGAGAAATACTCGTGCTCGAAGACGTCAACATCATGCCGGGATTATGTTGCTCGTTATCTTGGGACACTCTTGGACAAACAGTCTACGCTAGACGCCGATCCGAATATCCTCTGTCTTGCACTTGAGAACGATGAAGCTAACGTTGACAAGGAAGAGCATATTTATGAATTTGTGGTTAAATGGGTGAATTATTTTTACTCTAGTGATTCATCCAATGCTTTGACCGTCTCGAAAAATTCTAGTAGCACACATGTTGATACCTTATCAACTTCGCCATCCACCTCATCATCTGTTTCTATGCCTTCAGAGCTTCCTGAAGATTTTGAAGATCTAAGTCTGATGTCCCTGAGTGAAAGGAATGATGGCGTTTCCATTGACCAAGATTATGGTGATGCTAAGTTACTGGATGATGAGGTTGATGACTCTGAGAAATTTCCGAAACCGTGGCGCGGAGATAGGTTGGCGGCACTCCCAACTTTATTGAAGTGCGTCAGGTTTCCATTGATGCAAACTAGATATATTTTTGAGAAGGTTGAAAAAAATCCTGTGATAATGGAGGCCGAAGGGATGAAAGACTTGGTAGCCTATTGTTCATTTTATCCCAAATATTTTAAGATGGACTCTATCGCATTTATTCAAGTCCGTTAACTCGTTACCAAAAATTCTTTTCAGGTCATCGAGGCATACCGACACCATTTGATGTCCGATGTCGCCAACCATCACCCGACAAATAGGACCAGGCATCGAAGGAAGAAGGCGAAAATAATCGATTGATACATTACATAATTTATCGAGATTGCGAGCACTTCTTGGCGTCATGCCTTCGTTAATCATGCGTTTGGTGATTCACAAGTGGCACGGGATGCCATGATTGATGAGTCTTTAATATTCACGAGAAATATTTTTTGTTAATGAGAGAATTCGTAATTAGTGTGTACCATTTATACTGTAACTCTATTTCTAATACTCTGTAGTACTCACGTAATAGCCGCGTACATTAATTAATACCTGTGATGGAATAAAATGGGGGGAAAATTGATATCTGACGAATTATAATTGATCTTTTTAATTTAGTTTGTTCTAGTATTTGGCACCCTTGTCTTGCCAATAGATACGCATTATTCTGATGATTTTCGGTCTTTGCTTTTATGTTGTACATCGTCGCACATGCTTTTTAGTTTAGCCAATAAATTCCATATGCTGTTTATATTACACCTGGTGTTTTTTTTCCCATCATTTTCTTGATGATTTTAAAACTAATGTTATTACCATCGATATTATATGAGTTTATAAAGTTAAATTTATTATAAATTTAGTCAGAATGGAACGTGGTATTTGTGAAGAATGCAGTCTCGAAAACACGGGGTATGAATGGTGCCAACCATGCAATTCTAAACATTTTCAGCGAGAATTCATGAGATGGACTAGTGGGAATGACATCATTAACAAGTTCATTCAAGACATTCAACTTAATGCACGTAATTCATTTGGTGCTATCGAGTGGATTCCTTTTGATAAATTCACAAATGTTCAATACCTGGCCAAAGGTGGATTCGGGACTGTGTTCACTGCCAAATGGGCTGATGGTAACATTCAAAAATGGGATTCAAAAAATAAAGGTTGGGAGAGGTCTTTTGGTAGTGCTGCTTGTTTAAAGAGTGTCAATGATTCAAGTAATCCCGATAAACTCTTAAGAGAGGTAAGTTTTATTAAATATGATAGAGTTAATTGTTATTAAATAATGAAATTAGCATGTATATCTTAGGTTAAAAATCAACAAAAATTAAATGACAAAGTATCCATTGTACAAGTATTTGGCATCACCAAACCACCATGTAACTCCGATTATATGATAGTTATGGAATTTATGAAAAAGGGAAGTCTTCGAAAATACTTGGATAAAAAGTACAATCGTCTTTCGTGGTCTGATAAAATAAATCTTTTACGGTATATTGCACAAGGACTTGAATCCATCCATGAGGCCAAACTAGTTCATAAAGACTTTCACAGTGGGAACATATTAGTGGACAAAGCAGCGAAAGTTAAGACATAATATAGGTGATTTTGGATTGTGTGAACAAATAGATTATGATAAATTAGAAGAGGAAATAATAGGGGATAACACGAAACGAGTTTTAGGCGTCCTTCCATACATAGCACCGGAAGTTTTGAAGGGCGGAAAATATACGCAAGCCTCAGAAATTTATTCTTTTGGAATAGTCATGTACGAAGTACTTTATGGACTTCCTCCTTATTATGATTTTCCGCATGACACGCATCTTGCGCTTGAGATTTGTCGAGGATTTCGACCTGAGATTAGATCCAACACCCCACTATTAATACTGAATCTAATGGAAAGATGCTGGAGTGCTGAACCAGAAAATCGCCCCACAATATTTGAATTGAAAAATATTCTTAGGAAGTGGTATCGGTGTTTGTCTAAGGATGAAAAAGAGTACGAGATATTTAAGCAAATCAAGGAGGTCGAAGAATTAGAAAAGAAATGTCCAAGCTATGACTCGGTAAAATCGGATCCACTTGAATATGTCACCCATCCTCAAGCAATCTATACTTCTCGATTTATAGGTGCGTATCTTATAATTCTCTAACGCCTATAATTTACGTAGTATATAGCTAATATACTGTATTATTTAATTTTAATAGATACCGATCAAATCAATCTTAAAATTCCGGATAAACAATAATCTATCAAATTACTGTAAATAAGCTATTTCCAAAATTCGTTTTTTATCAATACTTTCCATATTGTTTTGTATAAGTTTTGTGGCAATCCTATGAATCTAAGTAAGTCAAACTTATACTTGTATATTATGAATTTAAGTAAGTCAGACTTATACTGTATATTATGAATTTAAGTCAAATAAACTTATACTGTATATTATGAATTTAAGTCAAATAAACTTATACCTTATCTATCGCATAAAGCTATTAATGAAAAGCCTAACTTACGGTAGGGAGTGGGTTATGCAATATTTATAGAATTAAGGTCACGGATAATTCAAAGTTCGAGTCCTAATCTTCTAAAGCGAAAAAAGATTTATCAACTTTTTAATACTATTATAATTTCGTGATCATCATTTTTTTTTATAAGTACATTTATTGATTTATCACTCCACACAATAGCAGTAATAATATAAAATATCATTCTTTCTTTTTTTAAAAAATAAATATTTTCTTAAATTCCAAATAATTCGGAAAATAGTTTGATCTCAAATTGTCTAATAAAATCATTGCTTATGAATTATATCCAATGACTTATTTGTTTACTTATTTACATACGCCTAAAATATTTGTATTGAAATAGTTTCGATTTCAGAAATAAAAAATTTTTAACCATTTTTTTTGATAAATTGTTGAATCTTTTAATATTATTTAAAGAATTTAAATTATTTGAATAATTTAAATTTTTTAAAAAAAAATTTTTTTTATAATTCTTTGCCAAGTTAGTTATATATGGTTGCTTCCAAAAGTTTGAGTCTACTTACTATGTTTTTATTATAAATTTCAACTTTGACAATTTTTAAATTATTAATTTTTTTTTTTTTTTTTTTTTTTTTAACCTTAGGTCAGACTAGGTATGTGTGCTTTATTAAACGTTTGTATACTGTATATTTTAAATGATTCACTAAAGCTAAGACTTTACCTAACTCACTTGTCACCATTTTGTTTTAATATACCAAAACTCTAAGTGCAACTTCGGGAGTGATTTATCGCTTCGTTAACGGTTCAGATGAATATCCTTTCAACCTTTAACATCATTGCCCGCAGATCACCACTACAGAATTTTTAAATTATTAATTATGTAGTCAAAAATTATAAAAATTATATATATTATATCTTAATACTTGTTCTATATTTTATATTTTTTTAAAAAATTTTTTATTATATAGTATGGAACATTGAAAATCAGAAAAATATTAATAGTATTTAATTAGTCATATATACAGTATATTGCAAAAGTCTTTGGATTAATATTGCTTTATAATTTTTATTTATAATTGATAACCAATAAATAAAATAAAATGAAAATTTATATTTATATTGTTCAAAATATAGAAAATAAGACTATTTAAAAAAATTATAAATATTCAATTTGAAAATAAAGAATCAATTTTTTATGATATCCAAATTTCCATTATATATTATAAATGAAGAAAATTTATTGAAATTATTTTAATGAATAAATTTATTAAATAAAAACAAATAATTTAATAAAAAAATTTTTTTATAATTTTTTTATCAACAAAAAAAATTTTTATTAACTATGAATTAAATCAAATAGTTAACAATTTTTAAAATTTTATATAAATATCATAGTAAAATCAAAATTTTTTAAAATTTTAAAGAATTTTTAAAATTAATTTTATATAATAAAAAAATAATTTAATTGTAAAAAAATTAGTGAGAAATTTTTGTTATTTTTTTATAAATTAAAAAATTTTCTTGATTTATAAATAATTTTTTATAAAAATCTATCATAGTAAAAATTATATTTTTTACTATTTTTTATATGTAAATTTTATA